ATGTCGTGTATGTATAGCGTATTGTGCTTTAAACAACAATATCGATATCGTTAATGATGCCATAGCAATCAATTCCGGAAACCAAAGGAAACCCACTTCTCAACGTCGCGCATCGACTCTCGTGTCTGCAACGGTCACGCTTCAATTCACTTCTGCCATCTCAAAAGCGCGAACATCTCGAGGCGATGAGAGTTCTCTTTCAGCTTTAATGAGCTACGCTTTTACGCTTCGAAAACTATTAAGTTTTGAATTTATTATATAAAAATAAATCACTAAATATGCAATTCATTAACTTTACTATTAATAGATAATGAATGTTCACGAAAATAAATATTTATTTATAAGCTGAGTCTGGTTAACTTTTAATACAAATTAGTTTATTAGCAATTTTTAATAAAAAAATCTAATATAACTGATAATGATAAGAAGAGAAAAGATTGCTCAAACTTAAGGTTATAGCTTAATAAAAATATACTATATATCTAGTGCTGAACAACAAATAATACTAGATTAACACTAGCACTAAAATTAACACTAGACCTAGAAGTAGAAACATTCCATTTAGCCGTATCTGTCTTAAGATGGCTGGTAAGTGGTAGGTAGCATAAAATATCACTATGTTGCATATTATTGAACTAAAATTATTACTAATACTAGACCTAGAACTAGAATCATTCGGGTTTAGCCGTCTTGAACGACGCACGGCTAAACCAGAATGTTAAACACGAAAAGTAGAGCTAATACTAGACTCAAAACCAGAACCATTCGGGTTTAGCTATGCGTCTCTTAAGACAGCTAAACCTGAATGTTTCTCGTTCTAGGTCTTCTGTTAGTTCTAGTGGCAGTGCTAGGTAGCGCTAGTTAGCATTAGATATCACTGTGTTGTATATTTTTATTGAATTAAAACTAGAACTAACACTAGACCTAGAACTAGAATCATTCGGGTTTAGCCGTCTTGAGAGACGTGCGGCTAAACCCGAATGTTTCTAGTTCTAGGTCTAGTGTTAGTTCTAGTTTTACACTAGCACTATCACTAGAACTAACACAAGACCTAGAACTAGAATCATTCGGGTTTAGACGTCTTGAGAGACCTAAATCCTGACGTTAACAGTTCTATAGTTCATTTTTTTTCTATAATACCTGTCAAATTGTTGTAAAGTTGGCAAAATTAACAGGGAGTTTTGTTTTATCATGTTTTGAAGTAAATATGTCACATTGACGTTTGAGCTTTCGTTATTCAAAAAGAAAAGGTGCATAAAAAGTGTTGTGGGGTGTTTATTTGCCATTTATTTACCTAGAAAAGGTATTTTATTCTATTAATTACTTTGTAGCACGTTTTTACAACAAATATGTACTTCGTGAAAATCGTATTTACCTAAAAATGTATTAGTATTTTAACCTCAACTAAATAGTTACTGAAAATGTTACTAAAAACCATGAAAACAACATAAATTTTATAAGGGTCCTAGATAATACCAAAAGAAACCCTAAATAATTTACATTGACAAGTATTATAGAAAAAAAACGAACTATAGGTAGCGCTAGTCAGCTATACTGTGTTGTATATTTTTATTACAAGACTAGACCTAGAACTAGAATCATTCGGATTTAGCCGTCTTGAACGACGTGCGGTTAAACCCGAATGTTTCTAGTTCTAGGTCTAGTGTTAGTTCTAGTTTTGAACTAGCACTAGAGCTCCCGAATGTTAAACACGAAAAGTAGAACTAATACTAGACTCAGAACCATAACCATTCGGGTTCAGTTATGCGTCTCTTAAGACAGCTAAACCTGAATGTTTCTCGTTCTAGGTCTTCTGTTAGTTCTAGTGGCAGTGCTAGGTAGCGCTAGTTAGCATTAGATATCACTGTGTTGTATATTTTTATTGAATTAAAACTAGAACTAACACTAGACCTAGAACTAGAATCATTCGGGTTTAGCCGTCTTGAAAGACGTGCGGCTAAACCCGAATGTTTCTAGTTCTAGGTCTAGTGTTAGTTCTAGTTTTGCACTAGCACTAGAGCTAACACAAGACCTAGATCTAGAATTATTTGTGTTTAGCCGTCTTGAGAGAGGCACGGCTAAACACGAATGTTAAATACAAAAAGTAGAGCTAATACTAGACTCAGAACCAGAACCATTCGGGTTTAGCTATGCGTCTCTTAAGACAGCTAAACCTGAATGTTTCTCATTCTAGGTCTTCTGTTAGTTCTAGTGACAGTACTAGGTAGTGCTAGTTAGCATTAGATATCACTGTGTTGTATATTTTTATTGAATTAAAACTAGAACTAACACTAGAATTAGAATCATTCGGGTTTAGCCGTCTTGACAGACATGCGGCTAAACCCGAATGTTAAACACGAAAAGTAGAGCTAATACTAGACTCAAAACCAGAACCATTCGGGTTTAGCTATGCGTCTCTTAAGACAGCTAAACCTGAATGTTTCTCGTTCTAGGTCTTCTGTTAGTTCTAGTGACAGTGCTAGGTAGCGCTAGTAAGCATTAGATATCACTATGTTGTATATTTTTATTGAATTAAAACTAGAACTAACACTAGAATTAGAATCATTCGGGTTTAGCCGTCTTGACAGACATGCGGCTAAACCTGAATGTTAAACACGAAAAGTAGAGCTAATACTAGACTCAAAACTAGAACCATTCGGGTTTAGCTATGCGTCTCTTAAGACAGCTAAACCTGAATGTTTCTCGTTCTAGGTCTTCTGTTAGTTTTAGTGGCAGTGCTAGGTAGCGCTAGTTAGCATTAGATATCACTATGTTGTATATTTTTATTGAATTAAAACTAGAACTAACACTAGACTTAGAACTAGAATCATTCGGGTTTAGCCGTCTTGAACGACGTGCGGCTAAACCTGAATGTTTCTAGTTCTAGGTCTAGTGTTAGTTCTAGTTTTGAACTAGCACTAGAGCTAACACAATACCTAGACCTAGAATCATTTGGGTTTAGCCGCCTTGAGAGACGCACGACTAAACCCGAATGTTAAACACGAAAAGTAGAGCTAATACTAGACTCAGAACCAGAACCATTCGGAATGTTTTTAGTTCTAGGTCTAGTGTTAGTTCTAGTTTTACTCTAGCACTATCACCAGAACTAACACAAGACCTAGAACTAGAATCATTCGGGTTTAGCCGTCTTGACAGACATGCGGCTAAACCCGAATGTTAAACACGAAAAGTAGAGCTAATACTAGACTCAGAACCAGAACCATTCGGGTTTAGCTATGCGTCTCTTAAGACAGCTAAACCTGAATGTTTCTCGTTCTAGGTCTTCTGTTAGTTCTAGTGGCAGTGCTAGGTAGAGCTAGTTAGCATTAGATATCACTATGTTGTATATTTTTATTGAATTAAAACTAGAACTAACACTAGACCTACAACTAGAAAGTTTCGGGTTTAGCCGTTCGTCTTCAGACGCACGGCTAAACCCGAATGTTTTTAGTTCTAGGTCTAGTGTTAGTTCTAGTTTTACTCTAGCACTATCACCAGAACTAACACAAGACCTAGAACTAGAATCATTCGGGTTTAGCCGTCTTGACAGACATGCGGCTAAACCTGAATGTTAAACACGAAAAGTAGAGCTAATACTAGACTCAAAACTAGAACCATTCGGGTTTAGCTATGCGTCTCTTAAGACAGCTAAACCTGAATGTTTCTCGTTCTAGGTCTTCTGTTAGTTCTAGTGGCAGTGCTAGGTAGAGCTAGTTAGCATTAGATATCACTATGTTGTATATTTTTATTGAATTAAAACTAGAACTAACACTAGACCTACAACTAGAAAGTTTCGGGTTTAGCCGTTCGTCTTCAGACGCACGGCTAAACCCGAATGTTTTTAGTTCTAGGTCTAGTGTTAGTTCTAGTTTTACTCTAGCACTATCACCAGAACTAACACAAGACCTAGAACTAGAATCATTCGAGTTTAGTCGTCTTTAGAGACGTGCGTCTAAATCTGAATGTTTCTAGTTCTTAGTCTAGTGTTAGTTCTAGTTTTGTACTAGCGCTATCACTAGAACTAACATAAGACGGCAAAACCCGAAAGTTTCTAGTGTTAGTTCTAGTTTTAGTTCTAATTTTAGTTCAGAATAGGAACAGTTAGTTGAAGGTTACCTCGAAGAAATTGAATTAAAAGAAAAGCAACCGCTGAAATCCTTAAATGTTATTTTGTGTAAAAGCAATAATACAAAGTAAATTAATTAACATTTTGCACGATTTAGAACATTGACAGAAAATTCATCAAGGATTAATTATTCCTAACTTTGGGTTCAGAAAATAGCATTCAACATCATTCAATTTTATTGATTAAAAAAATAGAATATTAATCAGAAAAGTGTTTAAAAAAGAATTAAACTTAACTTTAAATAAAAATAATTCTCTGATAAAACCATCTTTTACGCGTTTAATTGAATACCCATTGTATGCAGCATAAAATTGAATTTCCAAAACTTTTCCACGACTTTCTCCAGTTAATAATAAAGATAAACAAACAAACTGCACATTCTAGATAATTCTCTTAAACTTTGAAGGACATACCCAACTTTCTCCAGGTGATTGAACGTGGAGATAAAGTGCAACAAAAGTATTTTATTTAATCTTTCTCTACCACAAAAAAAATTAACATTTTCTTCTGACGCAAAATCTATTTAATTTGCATTTTGAAATCTAATCAAAATTCTTATAAGAAATAAAATAAATATAAATTTAGTGAGAATATTTGTGCGATAAATAAAAGTATTAAGTGTTGATTCGTTGACAAAGTGATCATTAACAACGTGGCTGAAGTAGTTAACAGTTGCGACCCTCGAGACTAGCGAAAGCGAGCGATCGAAGCGAAGACGTCTGCGGTCTTCGTCCACTGCCGCTATTATTTCATACTTGAAAATTTCTGTACGCGTACGGCAGGTGTATATAGGGGCCAAGATGCCAGGGGAACTCGGAAGACCGCTACACCGTGACACAGTGACCCACTTGGGTCCATTGCTGCTCCGGTGCCCGATAGACAACCACATTTCTTCAGTAGTCCTCCGGCTGTCAGAGCGCACCTTAACATCCGGACCCAACGAAGAGAAACCCACGCGCTCAACAGAAGAAACTCTTTTGCCGAATCGTATCACAGCAGAAGAAGTAACGGGCGTCGTCGACTTAGTTATGTATCGATGGTTTTAGTTCTTGTTCTTCGTTGAAGTTGTCCATTTTAACGGGGGCAGAAGAGTTCCGTGACTGAAACGAATCATTTTATTTGAAATAAAAATGGTCCCTTCGACGAACTTAATAGTTGTACTTTTATTGTGTGTTGTGTACCTTTGCCGGTTTGTGGTAACTATAAGCTTCGAGGATGGAACTAGCCGACACAGAGGTAAGTTGTTACGTTGAAGAGGTAATCCCCTTCAAACCGTGCACAACCACGTCTTTTGTATTACACTTTAAAGTGTATTATTGTCTTCGTCAGGTATTTCTGAGAATACTACAATCTATGTTGGATGGTTTCGTATGTGATTAGTCGTAATACCTTTTATAGAATTCATTTTCAATCGGTTACCTCTTTAATTCACTACACCGAAACTAAAAATAACCGAATGTCCTATATACACGGATTCTGGTGAATCAACGTGAAAGCATCGATAAATAAAATTAGAAAGTAATGATTAAGCACAAACGGAAGATCCGTTACCTCTCGAAGTATTTTCCGATTCAAAATTTTACTTTAACTCTTTAAATGAATAAATAGCTACTTGGAATTCGCAATTGCTCGATATACTTTCGAAACGTATCTAATTACTTTAATAAATAATTCAAATAAAATGATTTGAAGTTTCTCTTCTTTTGACTAGTTTTCTCTAATTTGGAGAACTCGAAGGGCATCGTTCTGATAAAAACGTGGACTTTTCCTTATTTAATCCGGCAGCAATTCAATGGCGAGATCCGAAGATCCTTGACCATGTTGGTTGCGCATGGCCAAGGATCTTCTGCGTGCGTTTTATTTGTCTTACATTATCGGGGCCGTTGAACTGGGTCCAGAGAGAGAATTGAATCTTGTTGATCCCACATCATTCATCGCAGTTTCTGCTCGAGTTTTACGCTAATGATACAAGAACGACTTCCGAACCTGTTTTAAATTGACCCGTAAACAGTTAAAACTGTCGACGTGTCTACTACATGCTTGTATGAGATACCTGATCTTACTCCTGTATGTAAATCAAGAAGATTTAAATTGCAACGAGAAAAACTGTTAACTTGTCTCTTTATTAATATGTTTATGAAATAACACATTGTGATATACCGTACCAACTCGTACGCAATTGGTATAACTGTTTCCAGAGCAAACATTCAACTTGTGAATTAAGTGAAGTCAATTAGCACTGGAAAAGTGAGAATAGGCGACGTACGGGTACACTACAAGAACTTTTATACCGTAATTTTACGTAATCCTACCTGCAAGCTCTGGTAATCTTTAATACTGTTCCTCATAAATATGGACATGGCGTGTATGAAATTTTGGTAGCTCATATTTAGAATTCAAGAACCGTCTGTTTCGGAACATTTTTATGCAGGAAAGGTTCCCGGCGATCTAGTTTTCGAAATAACGTTAATCCCTTCTACGCAGACAGCTCGCCAAATTCAGCAAAAACTTCTTAACCTTTCAACTTTTAATGGAAATCCAAAGATATATTATAACTACTTATGTTTTCTCCAACAACCTTTCGTAAAAATTTATTGCACAAATGTGAAATTATAATACATATAAAGCCTATTAAGATAAATTTTATGCGGGTTCATTGTGCGAATGAAACATTGTAAGTTTAAACGGAAATATAATCAAAGAAACACGTTCTGTTGGACGGTTATGAAAAAGTTTACGTCATGGTCAATGAGTATGGTCAATAGTAAGGTCGCCGTCAATGTCCCAAGCGCACGCCTTTAAACCAGGAAACATTTGTTGAATTGACACGCTGACATACTTAAAGAATATGCAGTCTCAAAAATGTTTCTTTATATTTCGCGTCACAAATTTTCTTTAGCACATAAATGCTTCCAAAGGTTCCAAACAACGTTGTTCGTTTAGAATTTGGATATCTTCGTAAGATCTTTGCTTGATGGTATCCAAGTACTCAATCTCAATAATTAAGATACTTGTGGTAAGTTTCTTCTCTAATGAGTTAAATTAATGATTTGACCCTTTGCGAGTATTAGAAATCGTATTGTACACGATTTAGAACTCATAACTTATTAGTAAGTGTAACTACCAAAGATGACAATGATTTCGCGCAAGAACAACCTTATGAGACCAATGGGGTCAATATAAAGACAATATATTTTTATAATATGTTATAACATGTGTCATTTTTTGGGGTAATTCATAATAAGAAACAAAAAATGTAGAATATTAAAATAACGTAATTGGGGTCATTAGTGTAACCTCAAAATAAATATACAGGGTGTCTCACGTAACTGGTTCATTAGAACTTTTTTTGGTTCCGGTATTCGTACAGTTTTGAAATTTTGGTAGTATGGGTTGTTCAATCGGAACTTTCGATCTAAAATATTTTCAAGATGGCTGCCACTTCCCGTCTACCGGAAGTAGACCATAACTTCGTTATTTTAAATGGAATGCTATAGTTTTTATTACATCTTTTAATTGTACGTAAAAAAATATGTTGCCTTTCATAAAAGTTATTGGTACCTAGCGTTTTTCGTTTTCGAGTTATTTTGATTTTAAGATTTTTTTGGCAAATTTCAGCATGCTCTTTAAAACCCTATATCTCAGCCAACGTTCATTCAAAAAAGCTCTAAATTGGCACGATTACTCTTTAGATGCTGTCAAATAGATTGTCATATATTGTATCAGAATATCTTATACAGGATGGTCAAAAATTGAATTACCATTACTGAATTATTAATAAAATAATAGTAAATTTAACTAAATGTAAGTCTCTATCAAGTCAACTCCTAAATTAGCGCATTTTTCAATACGTTTTCGGAATGCTCCAAAAACTGCCTATACATGCCCTCTAGGAATTGATCACAGTTCAATCAATTCCAAGAGAGCATGTATAGGCAGTTTTTGGATGTGTTGTTCTATTTTTTATTATTTCGGTATCATTCGGAATGTGTGCCTGGTAAACTATTTGTTTTACTCTTCACCAAACAAATGAATCCATTATTGTGAGATTTGGAGATCTGGCCGGCTAAGATGTCACGTTCATTCTCCCAAACCATCTTTCGCCAAATTGACTATTTAGCCAATCACTAATCATTTTTGTTGAATGACCATGGCAGCCATCATGTTGATAGAAATGATTCTGTCGAACATCTAAAGAAAGTTCGTCAACAAACCTTTGTCAGAATTTGTAAATAATTTTGTTGTTTAATCTTTCTTCAATAAAGAACGGTCCGATTATTCCCAGCTCGTGAGACCACCCATTTTTTAAAATACTCAATTTTTGCATTAATTACCTAATGGGGATTATCTCTGCTTTAATACTGACAGTTTTGGATAGAAGGAAGTTTCGATAAATTTACGAATATGAGAGAAACTACAATAAATAGGTATAGAAATGTTTATAGATAAATTGTAGAGAATTAAATTCCCTTTCGTGTAGGCTAATAAAAAATGGGGCGTTCCATTTAAAATTTTCGACTTTCTCGCCATTGAATATGGAGAAACAGTAATTCAATTTTTGACCACCCTGTATAAGATACTCCGATACAACAAATGACAATCTATTTGACAACATCTGAAGAGTAATCGTGCCAACGTAGATCTTTTTTGAATGAACGTTAGCTGAGATATGACGTTTTAAAAAGCATGTTGAAATTTACCAAAAAAAGCTTAAAACCAAAATAACTCGAAAACGAAAAACGCTAGGTACCAATAACTTTTATCAAAGTCCACCTATTTTTTTATGTACAATTAAACGGTGTAATAAAAACTATAGCATTCCATTTAAAATAGCGAAGTTATGGTCTACTTCCGGTAGACCGAAAGTGGCGGCCATCTTGAAAATATTTTAGATCGAAAGTTCTGAATGAACAACCCATGTTACCAAAATTTCAAATCTCTACGAATAGTGGAACCTGAAAAAGTTCTAACGAACCAGTTACGTGAGACACCCTGTATATTGTTATAATTTGTATGTGTTAAAAATATTAAAACAGTTTCTATATGTGAAATAACCGTAGTTCCGTGAGGATGGTCAATGATATTTTAAAAGATGCAGTCGAGAAAGGATAAACCAGAAGTAGATTTCTAGACCAATCATTTTGATTTAGGTAAACTTTCGATTTCGAGCTCGCATCGCAGCATTTGCCAAGCAGGTCAATAGACAGCGGAACGTTTCAACACAAACGTTTCAATTCTGTGTAGACGTCTAAAATATGGTCTAAGTGGATGATTAAGTTTTCGACGACGACACAATCCTCTAGATAACGCCAAACCTTTGTATTACGAGCATTCGTCTTGTCTTCGTCGTGGCTATAATGGTGACGTAGACACGTTATCTTAAAAGTTATATGTTTGCGAGAGACAGTTTCTCCGTGGATGGTGTACAAACTATGGAAAATATCTCTGCGAATTTTCTATTTGCTAATCCTACTTGCCTACATTCGTTACAGACGAGATAAACGGCAGTTTCTCGCGTTTATATTCTTAGTCTTGCCCGCCCAAATAATTATGATTCATTGAATAATGAGTGAAATATCATATTGTTCGCGACGCGACCCAATTAGAAAAGCTATTTACAATTTCTCCACTTGACCAGGTCGTCTCTTTTAATGTTTACTGTTAGAAAGTAATCCGGTGGGTTCTAATATCCGTATTAATAATTGAATTTTCACACAGGTAGCAATAGAAGTATTGTTTTCTTGTGGTTAACCACTCGTTACAACCATTTCGATTCTTTTCTTAAGATTTATAGGAGTGTACGTTATTAGAACAAAATCGGCTACTTTTTAAAATGATAAATATTTCATGTAACCCACTTTTAAAACATCCAAAGCAAAATGCTGCCCTAATTCTAAGTTCCAGTAAGAAAAAATATTTTATGGTGCATCTTTAAATACTAATTAACCTTTTAGAATTTCTACTAAGAATTTTGCAATTCTAAACGAACCAACCTTACGTTTTAAACTTGATCTCACAGTCATGATTGGTATCTATAAATAACTAGTATATCTTAAAACGATTAGTATCTTAAAACGTTTTGTACCACTTTATTTTATCACCGCACGATCATTTAAACGAGATAATTGAATAGGGTACCGCATAACCTTGAGTGGTCATTATTTAATACGCAGATTGTATAATTATCCGAGAATAATTACACTTTGGTAATCTGAGCTTTGATCTGGAACGTAATT